CTTGTATCTTTCTACTTTATTTTCTCTTAGAGGTTGGAAAACTGCTGTTCCCTTTTTTCTATTTTTTTCTTTTTTTTTTTTCTTTTTTTTTAAGTGTGAAGATTCATGCTTCTAGCAAGCACTGGAGATGGTGTGTAGACTTATCACAGTAGGGACTCTAATCAAATCCTTGTTTATATAAAAATTAAGTTATATCATATATATATATAGTGAAAAGATTGAGACAGATATCTTAATCTCTCTTGGCTAATGAGATTTTTGTGTTATTTTGTGGGGTTTTATTACTATTTTGTTACTTGTGTTATTTTTACAGCTTCAAACAAAAAAAAAGTTTATTTAACCATTTAATTAGCTTTTAAATGTACAGAATAATTTCTGTCCTCATATATACCTGCACATACTACTTTGCTAATTTATATATTTTTTTCTGTAAAAAGAACACTAGTTTAGAGAAAATTTCCTGATGACTAATGCCTTTGACAATGTAGCAGTCCTATTAATACCCATATCACTTCAGCAAATAAGATACTAGGAGACAGTAAATATTATTACAAGATATTAGGATATTAGGGATTTTAGTAAGTCTCCATATGTCTTCACTCTCAAATGCACATTTCTCAAGAGTTGCAAAAATGGGAGTCTGCTACACTTTTACCTTCCACAACAGCACAAATTTTCCTTTACTTGACACTTTTCAAATCCTATACAAAAATACTCACATATAAGCTAGTTGTAACTCCAGGATACAAAAAAACAGAGGTTATCTAGCTTCAAATTAGAAATATCTTTAAAGCTATGAAGTCTAACCTTTTGTATAACACACAACATAAAACTTTGTCCATTAATTCCTAAAGCAAATCAATACTTTATTATTGAACTAGAATTTCTCTCAAGGACAAAATGAACCTGAAAGCTTTGAATCTCATACAGTGCTCATCAGCACTTGCTCCTAAGCAAAAGAGCATTCCTAAGCACATTCAACCTACTGAAATAAGTGCAGACAGCACCCCTTTGTTCTTATGTCGCTGGAATGATTCAAACAAGTGAGGAAAAGTTTTGTCATTTCTTTTCTTTCTTGACCATACTTGAGTGTATAGGTTTGCCTTAAAAGGTAAGATAAAATGCTCTACCAACTCTTAACCTCGAAGCATCTCAGCGTTTCAGTGAGCCCCAAAGCTACTCCTCCCTTAGAAGCAGCAAACAACTTTGCTTCCACTGCTACATTATTTTGAAACTTGGATTTAAATACCTCAGGAGCTCTACATGAAAATGGAAACAACGGTGTTGAGATGTAGAAGAACCATATCCAGTTTCTTACTATCTTCTGTTCTGGACAACTTGAAATAGACAAATACCTTAGGGACTAGGAAAATTACAGTCAGTAAAATGAGAAAGGTTGATTTCCTACAGATGAGAAGAAGACTAATAGATGCATAATAAGATAAATAATCAATCTGTGGAAGTTCTTTGACTTGAAGTTATTTATTTTATATTTTCTGGGATATGTACACCTGTTCACTGATCTAATTTGGAGCACTGCATGCCTTGTAGCTTTTCAAATTCTGAAGTTGACCAGAGGTTCCCTACAGCCTAAAAATTATATCTGAGAGCATGGGCTTTTAACAAACTCCACATTATACATTGACATTGACCTTATACTAAAGAAAGATGTACATTATATCCAGGCAGGGAGATACTAGTATGGTTAAGACAACAAAATAAGGTAGAGTTCTGGAAAGTGGCTTGGGGGAAGAGAAAGTACTCACACTGTCTTTGCCTTCTCGTTTCCAGTGTGGTTCTAGAAAGACATTTCAATGTTCTTTAAAAAGACTTTTTGGAATAGATATTCTTGATTTCACCTTCTGGGTCAAACCTCTGCTAACATACGTGATCATGAAGTACTCTTTCAGAATTTTAGCATGTTTTCTCCAGTATCCAAAGGGACCAATCAAGCAGTTAGTGCTTTTAATTTTCTTTTGATTTCCAGTGTACATTTATTCACATTAAAGTATTTCCATCTTTCCTCAGAATCTTAGAAGATTCTTTTACTCCCACATCAATTCCCCATAGTGTGCTTACACACACACATATAGCCTCTCATATTTAGCCTTTGCTAGATAAATCAAGTCTACTGGTCTGTTCTCTTACAGCAAATTCTCCATCAGCCTAATCATTCTGGTAGCCCGCATATTCAAACACTTGAAGAAATAAAAAGAACTGACGATAAACACACAAAATAAGTATGCTGGAGGTTTCAACCAGGACCCTGTACAATACTGTGAATGCTTTGTTTCCTTTGTAAGACATATTCCCAATTCATTGAAGAACCACAGCTGCCTTTTTTCACTGGCAGCTGTCATCTGGACTTCCAACAACCAGAAAATCTTCTGACACTTCTAGCTGAATGGATTCCAGACTGTAGCAGAATGTGTTGTCACTAGTCCACAATCTTACATGCCTGCCTGATTTTGCAACTTGCACTACATGTAATGGTTATCTATATCTATTCCTCTAATCACAGTTATTCATCTTCTAGATATCTCAATCCTCTTCAGCACATACGACTCTCAGCCATGCCATCAGAGTAATATACACTTTCATTTTTGGCACAAAGCTATTAATCTAAATATTACATAAGATCTGCTTCCTCTCAAAAGTCTACTAGTGATTTCCTTATAGCCCAAGAGTACCCTTTCCCTTAACAAACTATAACAGATCAGCTTTAACTAGGTTCTCACCCGTTTTATAATACTTCCACTGATCTCTAAGTTCTGTAGTCAACACACCACATACTTCAGTAAAGAATTTTCATTATTTTTTTTAATCTGGTTTTTAAGGGATAATTTTGATGCTCAAATTAATGATGCAGCTTTTGTTTTGCAGAAGGACCAATAAGCCTAAAAAGATCTAATTCTGAGCTGGGTGCCACCAGGCTAACAAGCCATTCTTGAAAGCAATATATTGTGGAGCACAACACAGAAACACTCTAGCATTTCTGCAAGGACAGCTGTGTAATAAAAGGGGTGATTTAGAAGATAATTGTGAGTCCTTTGTGTTATCTTTGTTCTTCTCCTCTTTCAGAAATTCAGACTGTGCTTTTATGCTGGAACCAGCTTGAGTCTGAGATGGCTCATTGGCTTCTTGGTGCAGACCATATCATATTCAGACTAGTCCTATGCAAACCCAGGTGGGTGTCTCTCCACCCTGCCATTGGTTCATAGTTTATAGCTCAGACTGTATTAAAGAAGGGCATATGAACCATTTGCAGACCAGACTTTGTCCCAAAACCAATATCATGTCATTCACTCAACTCTGTATGTCAGCTACTGAACACCAGCAGACACAACATGGCTTTCCACACAGCTAACTTTCAATGTCCACTACCCCGTTAATTCACAATTCAGCTAAGCTGTTAAATAACACTGTTGACAATTACATTTGCTGTTTTCCAAGCATACTGTAATCTCCTGCATCTGCTTCAATACAAAAACAAACACAGTTCCCAGATCTTCAATTAAACATCTCAATTCTTTCAGAATTCTAGGACTGAATTTATCAGCTCTCCCAAATCCCTTTCTCCCAGTCTAAAGTCATTGAGTCTTGTGGGTTCTGCTTCCCTCTTGGCTGCATCAATTTCCTTCTCACACCTCCTTCCTGTTAGTCATTTCTACCTCTAACATCACCTTCAGCATCGCTGTCCCTACTGACAAGGGACAATTTTTTTTTTTTGCCATTTTGGAGCAATGCTGAGAAGATACTCAGTATTTATTCCATTATCCCATTCCAGTGTCCTGATTTTCCTTCACTCTCTATTTAATAACCAAGTAATATTTTCCATTTGTTTTCATTTCTACCCTTTTGACTTTTGCACTCGATTTTAGTTGGTGATTAGTCCTTTTCCATTTCATTCCCTGAAGGCTCACTACTTATGCCTCATGTGCTTTCTGAGACAGTGATTTGTTCAGTTGGGAGAGGAAACCTTTCCCCCACTGTTTTTTTTATTTGGAATACAAGTCCAACATACTTTAACCATATCTGACTTAAAGAAATCTCTATCCTCCTCTGTAATCAAATCCCTGATTTTCCACTTAATTTAAATTAGTGGACTTGTAATCACTGTAATCTGATCTTTACCACCGCGTCTCACCAAAACTAAGGCCAAAATACTGTCGTGTTGTTTGTGTGACTCTTTGGGAACCGCTTCATAGAATAACAGGGTCCTACTACTACTGCTGAATGAGTTTTGCTATGATAACAAGCCAATGCCCTTTATTTCCCACTACCAGTTTTTTCAGAACCTTTTTTTTATATTAGAATTAAAAAAAAAAAAAAAAAAAAAAACCCTAATTTTACAATAAGTCAACAGACACTCCTCTTGATCCAGGTGGCTTGACGAGGGTGGTTTCAGCCGGAGGGCCACCTGGACACAGAGGGAACCCCCAGCCCCACAGACCTGGCGGGGAAACGCTGTTGAAAAAAAAAAAAAAAAAAAAAAAAATCCTGATGTTTCAACTGGTTAAGTCAACAGACACTCCTCTTGATCCAGGTGGCTTGACGAGGGTGGTTTCAGCCGGAGGGCCACCTGGACACAGAGGGAACCCCCAGCCCCACAGACCTGGCGGGGAAACGCTGTTGTGCCCACGGAGCCCCCCAGCTCCCGGGTGGGCAGCGTTCCCTTCTAAGCTCCCTTGTCTCCCACCCGTCACACCTGGGCTTCGGGGAACGCAGCTGGCAGGGAATTACCGTTAACGGCCACTCAGGCAGACAGACACCCCTCGCAGGTGGAGCTCGGTTGCTCCCTTCTCCTCCACGCCCCGCCAGGGAGCAACACGGCGCCCCGCCAAAGCCCCCCGAGGGCCGTGCAGAGGCCCCGCGAGCCTGAAGCGCCTGGGGCACGAGCCGGACCCAGGCCCGGCTGAGCGCGCCGGGTGGCGGGCGCTGCTTGCCGCCCGCCGCGGTGCAGGCTGGGTAGCGTTACCGTTGCTAGGCGGGCGGCGGCGATGGTGAAGGAGACGGTCCGGGTGTACGCGCGGGTGAAGCCGCTGGGCAGGCGGCAGCAGGCGGGGGTAGGACGGGGAGCGGGCCGCTGCGCTGCCGGGGGGACGGCAGGGGCCAGCCGAACGGCGTCCCGTGGGGCTGAGTGCGGCGGGGCCGCCCGAAGGCGGGAGGGAAGGGGCAGCGACCATGACCATGACCGTGACCGTGGTCTCCCCCCGCAAGAGGCCCGGCCGCCGTGTTGAGGGCTGAGGGGTTTGCCCGTGGTGGGATGCGGCGCGGGCAGCCACAGCCCTGTGCTGTTCTCCGGAGCCTGAAGAAGTCAGTAGAACGGGGAAGTACTGGGACTTTGACTGTAAATGCCGGGGAAGGGGGGTGAGGAACTTCTGTCCTGCCCGGTTGGTAGAGACAGGCTCTGCAGGAAAATCACGCTGGTCTCTGGGTTTCTGCAGGTCAACAGTGCTCTGAACGTTGGTGGGGAACTTGTAGCTCCCAGGCATCAGCTGTCCTTGCAAGGGATAATAAAGATAATGAAAGCATTCCTCAGAAAGTGTGCGTTTAGGTGTCCTTCATTGTCTTCTCATTTTGAACCAGCTTTACATGTTCTGTTGCTGTCTTCCCTAATATATTCTCCCAGGTGTTTGGAGGAGGTTGCAATGGTGGCTGTGCTTTGTTTTTTAAAACAGCTCAGATATTAAAGCAGTTTAGTAAGCAAACTACGTTAAAGAGACTATGTTTCTGTTTCAAAACTTATTGTGGTGTTTTATGGTAACAATAGTGTTCGTATGTGCTCGTTTTATTCTATAATAGCTGAAGGAGGATCTGCTCGTGTATGAAGGGCTTTTGAAGTAGGCAGAACTAGTCTGGTTTGCTCTGTTGTTTTAATATACTGATTAGCCAGGGTACACAATGCAATTCTGAAATTTGTGTGAAGTCTTCCTTTGGGCAGTTACAGGTGCGAAGCATACATAAGTGTTATACTGAAGGGCTGTGCTGTTCTATTGGCAAAATTATTTTGTTAATTCTTAACCGTGCTTATTAGATTTATTCAGTTGATGATGATGAGAAACCTCTGTCCAGTCTGGAGATCACTGTGCCACGTGATTTAGCAGATGGGTTCATCAATAATAAACGGGAGAGCTACAGGTTCAAGTAAGTAAAAGCCTTACCTTTGTATCTTCTGCCCTTAGTGCTTGATATCACTGTGTAGTGATACAGATTTATAGAACCTGGAAAAGCCTATTCTTAAAATAAAGCTTTAGTTTTATATGCAACTCCATTAACAAGAGAAATACTCCAGCATATTATGTTCTGCACCTCAACGAATTTCATAGTGTTTGATAAACCTGTGGGATTTTTGTCTGTCCATTGCAAGTCATTCTACATTTCTAAGCCTCATCTCAAAGACTGCATCTTCGTTTATCAGTTCTTCCTCTTTCACAGCTTGTTTTGAATTTGTGTATGAAAATTGAATGCAGGACTGTGTGTTCCCTTGTGATCTAATGAGTTGACATAGGCTGGGTAAAGATGTCTTGATGTAAAACACTCTGTTTAGAAACTGTGTTTCAGACGTAACTAAAACACAATAAAGAAAACCAGAGATTGTTGAAAGAAACAAAACCATAACAGTAGAATGTAAATATTTTTTAGAAACTAAAAATAAGTACCAGGAATATCAATCAAATATTTTTATCTTTTCAACTGAAAACTTGGAGGCAACATTTTAAAATTCCGATCAAAAAGAAAGCTAGATGTAGCCACCTGGTTAGGTAGAGATTGTTTTTTTCCAACTTGAATATTCTTTATTTTTTATAGCACCAAATCAAGTACACTTGTTGCTCTATGCTATTAAAAAAAGAGAGCCCCAGATAAACATCTGCAGCTCAGACTGATGTCATTTTACATCAGCTAAAGAAATTTGTTTTGCTTGGGAAGCAAGGAGCTGCCCTCTCTGACTAGGTTAATATGCAAAACTAGCTTAGGTTGCAGATGCCCAAGGCAGCTGTAATGAATGCTGGTATTTTTTTCCTGACTTTATCACTTTATTAACTAGTCTGTAGAGATGCAGTTTGAGAAAGACCATGCCTTATTATCCTTAAGACAATGCAAAAATAATGCTATGGAGCAAGCATTTCTTTTTCTAAAACTCATACTTTCATGCAGTCTTTCTGCCTGGTCACCTCAAACATTATTCTCCTTTGTTCTTACTTTCTTATATGGGAATCAAACACAATAGTTTGAATTACTTGACAGATTAAGGGTCAGCAGGATAGAATATATGCCTCTCTACTTTGTGTATTGCATGTGTCTGTGATGTTGTACATATGCATAATACCTTGCAGTCCATATTGCTTTTCTATATACCCTGTGAAATTCTATGTGAGTATACAGTTCCAGATAGGAGGGACAACACAGCAGGGCACAAGCAGTCCAAGAGGTTTCTGGAATGTTATTAGTGACAACTTCCTAATATATCATTCAAGAGCCAATGAAATGAGAAGTCTGCTGCACTTCATATTTGCAAACATGGAAGAACTGATCAGGGATGTGAAACCTGGACATAGTCTTGGCTGCAGTGGCCATCAGATAGTGAAATTCAGGATCTTGAGAGAAGGGAGCAAGGCAGAAAGCAGGATTACAACCTTGGATTTAGGAGAGCAAACTTTGGCCTGTTCGGGAACTTGCTTGAAAGAATCCCATGAGTCACAGCCCTGCAGAGAAGTCCAGGAGAGCCAGCATATTTTCAAGGCTCACCTCCTCAAAGCTCAAGAACAGTCCATCCTGATGAGCAGGAAGGACAGAAAGACAGCAGGAGGCCTGTGTGAATGAGCAAGCAGGTCCTGACTAAACGCAGACGTGAAAAGGCCATGTACAAGAGGTGGGAGCAGGATCAGGTGACCCAGGAAGGCTGTCTGAGAAATGGCATCAGGAAAGCCTAGATAAGTGCACAGTGAAGGGTGATGAAAATGAGCTGAGCTGCTGGGCTCAGAGGGCTGTCATCAGGGGTACAAAGTCCAGCTGTCACTACTGGTGTAACTGATGCTGTGATCCAGTACTCTTTAGCATTAATGACCTGGGTTATGGGACCGAGTGAAGCTTCAGCAAGTTCACAGACAATATGAAGCTGGGAGTGTTGGTTGATGCACCAGATAGTTGTGCTGCCATTCAGAGGAACCTCAAGAGGCTGGAGAAATGGGCCGATACGAATCTTATTAAGTTCAACTCAGTGAAATGCCAACTCCTGCTCCTGGTGAGAAATAACCAGGACAGGCTCAGGGTTGACTGAAAGCAGGTTTACAGAAAAGGACCTGGAGTCCTCATAGACAGAAAGTTGAACATAAGTCAGCACCACGCCAGGGAAACAGCCTCTGGGCCTCATTAGGCAGAGTATTGCCAGCAGGTCAAGGAAGTTGATCCTTCCCTTCTAGTCACCAGTGAGATCACATACAAAGTTCTGTGTCCACTTCTGGGCTCCAGCAAAGGGACACAAAGATAATTAAGGGACTGGAGCATCTGACGTGAGGAGAGGCTGAGCAACCTGGGACTGTTTATTCTGGAGAAGAGAAGGCTCAAAGGGATCTTATCAATGTGTGTAAACAACTGATGGGGAGAGAGAGATTAAAGAAGATGGGGCCAGATGCTTCTCAGTGGTGATCAGGGACAGGACAAGAGTTAATGGGCACAAATTGAAATACAGGAAATATTAAAAAAAAAAAAACAACTTTTATTGGGGTCTGATCAAATATTGCCCAGAGAGGTTGTGGAGCCTCCATGCATGAAGATAATCAAAACCTGACCCTACAGACCATTCTACGAGCAGGGTGATTGGAATAGATGGTCCCTTCCAACCTGGAGTGTTCTTTGATACTGTAAGTCAACTGCAGATATTTTATATAGGAGGTGACAAGACTTGGAGTGAATTAAATATCTCCTTGTGACTTACAGTAACTGCAGCAGAATGAAGGAAGTACTTACAAAAAATGTGAGTCTGGCTATACTGGTGGGATGCTGTATTTGGTTATAGTGTAATCTATTTATCCAGGTTTCAGTGTGGTGCCAGTTACAAACACCGATTCTCTTGATAGATTTGAAATGCGGTTCATTTTTTTTCTAAGCCACATCATTTTATCAGAGGATTTTATTGTACAGATCTTGTCAAAGCAGCACTGTGTACAGCCTATTTATGTACAATAGCACAACAGCACGCTGTGGTTAAGACTACAGGGAAAACATTGTACTAAGTTATGTAAGCCTAATGATGTAAACATTGACTATTACAAACACAAACACAAATAAATGAATCAAGTAGTGTTTTAAGATTCTGAGCAATTATTATTTGCTTAATATTTTCAGATTTCAGAAAATTTTTGATCAAGAAGCAAAACAAGATGTGGTTTTTGACAGCATTGCCAGACCAGTAGCAGAATGGTACGTTGTTGATCTTGCAGTAATCGGGGTAATGCAGGGTCAAAACCAGCTTTCATTGTATTACTTGGAGCAGAGCTGGCAAATGTTTGTCTCACTGTTGTAAAAGTGGATTGATGTTTTAGTTTTCGAAATATTCACATGTCTGAATCTAGGCGATTTGCAACAATCCCCTGAGAATTTTATGTGTGGTAAGGTTCAATTATTATCTCCTAAAATAGCACTCCTACTGTTGCCCATTTTGTTGCATAGGCATAGAAATCCATGTCTAGTTAGTATTTTGTCTGTAATATAAGCTCCCTTCATTGCATTAGAAAAGTATTCCCTATATAGTTCCATGAAGGGACACTCATGAATTAATACCTGTGGAGATACTATCAAATTTTGCTCTAATTATTTTTGTCTTAATGTGTAGGGCAGTGATTTTGGCACTGGTTTTGTTTTTCTTCGCCTTATACTAATCAAACAATGCTCATATTTTAAAGTTTGCAAAGGCAAGCATTTAAGACTGATGTGGAAGTTCTCTTCATTCATTGTGTGGATTGAATGCCACTCTGAACTGGGTGGATTTTCCAATATGCTGTTTACTTTGCGCAGCTTATGCCCACATTGCAAAAGTTAGGACCGGTTTTAGTTGGGGAGAAAATCCCACACTGGAGAAAGCAAAATTTCTGCATAATATTTGTTTGTTTATCAGACTTATTGGTCAGAATCCAAACTTGTAGTGAGTTTGGAAGTGTTACTTTAGGTACCTACCTACTTTCTCATTCATTGTGTGACCTATCCATAAGCTACGATTCTGCAAGTTATTCTTCAGCCTGTTGCACTGCCACGTGTTTTGCACTGCAGGAAAAGGGACATCCTCAGTTCGACACTTAGTCTTTCTCAAATTGTTACTTGGAAGTAAAAATTTACCTAGCTCAAGAAAATGTCATTTTCTTCATTTCCCCCTCTCTTTTTTTTTCTTCAAAGTCCCACATAAAGCAGGAGGGTAATTGAAAGTGAAAATGAAGAGCCAGTGGATTTGAATCTTCTTTTTAAAAAAATGTTATGTTCTTCCTTCACCCAAAAGGGATTTCTGTGCTTATTTAACTTCATAACATATAACTTCAGGTTAACTCATTTAACTTCAAATATTTCTGAATTTAATGTTAGCTGCAGACAAAAACTTTTGTGTCTTATGCGCTTGGAAAGATAAGAGTTAAAACTCTCATTGTTACACGCTATGGATTGAATTATCCTCAACAAAAACTCAGAGCATCAAAGCTAACTAGCAACAGACTGACTGATTTTTTTCCTTTAGAGTGTTTTGCTAGAATATGGAAAGGTTTTCCAGTTGAATAATTCACCTATGTGGTGCTCTAACAAACAGGAAGTGGTATTCTTTTCCTTTGTTTCAGTGTTGGCTGATAAAACATTTTTATACATTGATTTGTTCCATTATATATGGTTTAGTTTTGATTTTTAGATGTTTTTAAGTACTTAAATGCTATTAAAATCAGTGGTGTTTAGGCATATGATTTTCTACAAACAGCTGAGTTTTCGATGTTAAAAATTGATTTATAAAATCATTTTAACTGAATGAAGACTATTTTCACTCTGTTACAGCATGTTGAAACTTGTATTCTAACTGATGTTTTTGTTGTTACTTATAGTATTGAAGGATAATTATGCTTTTGTTTTTATAGTAGAGTAGGCAATACCTGAAGTATGTTCCTCTTTCTCGTGTTCTTCCTTCATTTTTACCTTTCCTGAGGCAAAAATATGTGTTTCAAAATGTCTTCATAGTCATGAGGTTCCTTGGCTAATGGAGTCCTTAACTGTGCCTGAAATTTATTTCACCCTGTAGTTAATGACTCAATTTTCCTTTCCATTGTGGGACAATAAGAACTGCCCTGTTTTCTCTGAAAGATCATAGTTTTTCATAGCAAAGTGTTCTTCGCTATTTGTTTCTTTCTAAGTCAATGTTCTCTTGCAAGGAAAAATGTTGAAAATGAAAATCTCTGTTATTCCAGTCAGTTTACTGAGGGAACAGGTTTTGTGTGTATATTGCCAGGGAAAAGGAAGTAGCAGGAAAGTATCAATGAAATAGTTCAGTGACATTTTGAGGCTCTTTGCCACGCGTACTTGCAGTCATGAGAACATTCATTAGACTTGAATGCTCAGAAGAAAAATCTTGGGCATTGTTTAAACTAAAAACAGCAATGCAGTGTTTGGGATTCTAAAATCTTCCTCGTTTGTTCTTGGGTAGATGGAAATTGGATGCAACTTTCTTTTTTCTTTCTTTTTTTTTTTATTTTTCTTTTTAAGTCTACTTTCTTTGATGTTGGGCCACTGCTTTTCTCTCTTTAAGTCCAGTTACATTGTCATCTTGCTTGTGGTTTCAAAGGCACCAGACATTAGTTCATTTAATTTGCTTCTTCAGTCAAAAGTGCCAGCCTCTGTAAACCATTATAAGCATGTGATTTGCTTAGTTATTTTTTTTATTATTTTATTAATGCTCAAGTCATCTCTTACTTGGTTTCTTTTTATCGTTTGTACTTTGCTCTTTTCCTTTTCATTTTAAATATATATTCTTGATATTTTTTTTGTGCAGAGCCAACTTGATCTCTAAGAAGTAGCACTAACTCTATTGCTCTATCAAAAATAGAGAAAATATATAACATTCTTCTTTTACAGTTTTCTAACAATTAAGCATTAGTTTAGTCTAACAACAGAACAAGTTTACTCTTGCAGTGCTTCAAATATTAGTGTTATGATGATTAATTAACTAAGTAGAAAATCTTACTGCTTTGGAATTAGTTTTGTTTTCAGGTCCAATATGGCCAATGTTTTGTCTTGATTTATTAAGGAATAACATTGAAAATATATTTCCCTTCAGATGTATGGTGCAAATACAAAATAGCTCAGCTGTGATGTGATGGCAGTCACCTCTGTTTTTTTGAAAGATCTGATAGCTTCCAGGATAACACTCCCATTGCCACAGATTTTAGTTTCTTCTTGTGTGCTGTGTTTATCCTAAGAATTAACATCTGTAATATACAAACTACTTCCCTTTACTCTTTTCTTTTTTTTCTGCTGCTTATTCTTACAGAAAATGTGGTCAAGATATTTTGCAGAACAGCATCATTGTAATGTTGACTGTATTTTGTAATGTCCCGCTTTCCAATTTTAGAAAACATTTTACCAGTAACTGAAAATGTTTGGAAAACATATTTACATCATTAGATTGCCTTGTGATACAGAGCCACAGGATGTAGACTAAACATCCTAATAGGACATTTCTAGCTTTACTAAATATGCTAGCAGAGATCCAGTGACCATCCTTTGCTTTTCTACTTTTTTTTTTCTTCCTGTTTAAGTCTGTGAATAAGATGATATAATAAAAGTATTTGCTGTTTGGTGGTTTGTTTGGGTTTTGTGGGTTTTTTTATTTCTCTCTCACTAATAACTCAGGGATTTGTGTTTTATTATGCATTCAAAGAAAATAAAATATCTACAAGTTTCTTCAAACTAATGAAATTTCAGTAGTTTGTAAAAGCATCTTAATTTTCCCGCGAATCATGTGTTCCTTTTGACCATTTAAGGTACAGTAATACTGAATGTGCTTTGCTTTCACTGACTTTGATAGACTTATGGATTGATAATTGCTCTGAAATTTGAACCATTAGATAAGAAATTACTTGAAACGTTACATCTAACTTATTTTACAAGGTTTTGTAATAAATAAATACACTATTTTATTTATTGCAAATAAAAGTTCCAAATAAATTATGACCTCTGTTTTTAAACATCATAGAGTAAAAAAAAAATGAGAGATTCTTAAAAACCCTACATTCTTAATTCTGAATTTTTTATGCTGCTTCGTTACTTTTAAAACAAATTATTAGGAACAGATAAAAGTCACACCTTTACATCTTTTTACAGCAAAAGGAACATTCTCTTTTTGATTTTCTTAGAAGCTCTTTTCATATACGATACCTTAGTATAAATTCCTCCTAACAAGAAGAATGTGGAATTAGTGGGGCTGTTCCTTTGATAGTACTTAACCTGCAGACTTCGTCATGTTTCGAAACACGATGCAATTTTTATTTTCTTTGTGATGTAGACCTTAAATTGTGGAAAAAGAAAAATAAAATCCACGTATCTGAAATGCTATAATAATTTGTTTTTACATAGGGAAATATATAGTTCTTTTTGCTTTGTCATGGCCCTTTCAGAACCTCCTTAATTTCAATTCTTGTATGAAGTTATTATGCAAATCATGCACATGTTTGGCTTTCGGGGAAAAGATCATTATTGTGCAACTGGAATTCCAGATTATTTTTTTAATGGACTTTATTTTTACTTGTGTATAATTTGAAATACAAGGTTTCTCTCTTTTTCTTTTTTTTTTCCAGTATTTAACAGTATAATTATACATATGAAACATATAGGATGCTTAAAATAGTTTTAATAACACTAGTTATAAGAGTCTAAACTATCTTCAGGAAAATTTTAAAATACAGCAGCAGGAAGTATATGAGACAGGAGAACAGAAAAACATAAGTCAGTCATGATTATTTATTCACTATGTAGTAGCCAGAACCCAACATTAAATTGGTTAATTATTGTGTCTCAAAAAAAACCTTTTTAAGAGCTATTTTCCACTCTAAAGAACTTAGATCTCTTATTTGGACTCACCTGGGGCAAAATCTTGCTTATAACTATATATCGTGTGTCATGTATAGGGAGCTGTTTCTCCACCCTTTTGCCCCATATTCCCTTCCCCTCTGCCCCTCCTCTCTGTTTAGGCTTGTTTAGTGCAACTGCAGCGTGTTGCCTCTGTGTCTGCAGGTGGTGTTGGCTGGTACAGAAGGTTGCTGCGTGCCCTTATAGGGTGGATTGTTTCCAACACAGTGAGCTCAATAAAGACTCGTACCGTTTTGGTACTGCAATTTCAATATATATGTCAACTCACTGATGTTGTAATGCAAAAGGATTGAAGGGTTAAAATGTTTTAA